CAGGTCATTGTGAGCATGGCTCCATCTTGCCATTGCAGTCTCAGCTCACCTGTAACCTCCTTAAGAAGTTTTACCCTCACCACCTAAATGCTCTCTTTTACTTCATCCAGATTGATGTTCATCATAGCATTTATCAGTAATATGTGATCTGTCTTGTTCACTGCTATAACTCCAGAGTGCTGATGCCTTGCATATCACAGCCATTCAATAAATATTTATTGTCTATAGGAAAACTTTCAATACTGTCCAGGAGTTTGTGCTTAGTTGCTACTTAGCAATAAGAAAAATAAATAATTCACTACTAAAAAAAAAAAAGCGCAATAAAAGAATCTGAGGGATTTGTTTACTGACTTACTTGGGATTTAATTACATGGAGGATTTTGAAGAAAAGAAGGGAAAATATTGTAGTACATTATGGTGTTAATACGTGGGAGTTTTCATTGTTTACTCTTGTCTCCTTCCTAGGGTTTTATTAATGAGCCAACTATCTTGTATGTGAAATGTACTACAATGAGTTCCATTTGGTTATGGGTCAAGATAAAATAACACAGTGTAATTTAAACGAAATGATGTTTGCTTGGTGAATGGCAGACTCATTTAACATTTGCTTCTCTTATGCATTTTAGCTGTGCATGCTGCAAGTTGAACAAACCCAGCCTCCTCCCATCTAGCTTATGGAAGGAGGTAGATGAGCCAGCAGCTCAATTGAATTTGACCTCCGGGGGTGGGGAGGGAAAAACAAAAACAAAAATCAAGGTGACCACTCAGACAACCACTCTTTTCAAAGACTCGCCACCTTGCCCAGCAGCCTTTGATTCGTAGTGGGTCTTCTGACAGCCACCTCTGATTTTCTAAAGAGCTGGGCAAGTATTCACCACCTGGTTACTTCTCAGAAGCAGCTTCATGGACCAAAGCGGGGCACCGGTCCCAGAGGGATGGCATTCCCCTTCAACAGACAACCTTCAAAAGATGGGCAGCACCTTACGCCCACCTGTGTTAACTGTCAGCTGCCCACAACAGAGAGCACAGTGGTGGGAATGCCCCTGTTATCTCAGGCTTTCATCACTGTGGTAGAGAGAAGCTGTTCTTGTGGGCTGAGAGGAATGGATTTCAAGGGTTTCTTTGCCTTTGATGTCAACCCTTCACTACCGCGAGATGAACATGTGCCATCTGTGGTGCAGCAAAATGTCTAACAGGGGAGAGGTACAAGCCCGGTAAATACATACATACACAGGTATTTGCCATTGGTACTATATGACCAAGATGAACCATCTCTCTCCAAAAGAACATTGAGCTCAACTTCTAGAAAAGATAAAGTCTATTTCCTTCTCCTCTTAGGTGTTAAGGTCAATACTTTACTTGAAGCAATGAGTGTAGCTAGCGTTCTTACTAGTTCACCACTAGGTTCCCTGGAATATTGCATTGACTTCTCTTTCCTGTGTCTAATTTGCCTCTCTGTGATGTTATAAAGTATTTTTTTCCTTCTCCTAAATCTCATCTAAGATGATGCTGAACATGTGACAGACACTCAGTTGATACTTAGTATGTTCTTAATACTTACTATTTTGATTGATTATTGTTTAAGATGTAATGACTGTTGGATTTGGGGAAAATGAACATGTAAACACACTTTTCACAAAATGCATTCTCCCATTTTCATTTCTAATTCTGACCTATTGTGATGGCATTGGACCAGTTATTTATTTGATACATGGCATTTTAGGGCTTAATTTCAGCACAATGAGAAAAATCACTTTAGGTACCATCTGTGTAAAACTCTTTGTGACCCTTGCAAATTGAGGACAATAATACCTAAATAAAATATAATAGACTCATTCACACTGACAAATACAGAAAGCTTTATGTTAGTAAAGAAATTTTCCAGAAACACTATGACCAGCATTTTACAGTCTCTGACATGTAAGGGACTTACATGTCCTTATTGTCTTCGAACACAGAAACATCTCAGGTCCAACACCCAAGCCCTCATCTGCAACTTTCATATATTCTTCTTTTTGTTTGTCTTAAATTCAAATCCCTTCTGCAGAGATCTGTGCACCTGCACACGAGCAGCCAGGTGTTCAGCTGTTTAAACAAAAAACAACCACCAGCATGCATCTATCTATGTTATACTTACACTCGGTGGACTGGGGGAAGCAGATACAGATGTTATAGGCAAAGCCCACAGGCCAGAACAATAAAAAGGAACAGAATTGAACAAAGATAAATGCTGAATGTTTTTTCCCAGAGAAAGGTTAGCAAACTCAATTTCAGGAAAACAAAAAGGCAACACAGACTAATCTGTGGAACTTATTCGCATTTGGAAATAAGTTGGATTCACTGAAAAATAACAAATATATATACATACAAATATATATCATATATCTACATTCATCAGAAATCATTACGGTCAATGCATCAGGATGACAATAACAGGATGACATTATAACCAAAGCTTATAAAGAAAGGCATAAACTATTCTTCAGGAACTGAAGTCTCTTCAGGAACCAGCTGACTTGTATTCTCCAAAGCTCAGAAGTTTCAAATCTCTGCTAGTCCAAGACACTAAACTTTTTAAACCTAAAGGACTTAGAAAATCATTTTTGCAAATATATCTGATACTGTGGGTTCTTTTGTTGTTTTTTTAAACTTTTTAAACCTAAAGGACTTAGAAAATCATCTTTGCAAATATATCTGATACTGTGGTTTTTTTTGTTGTTTTTGTGTGTGTGTGTGTGTGTGTGTGTGGTTTTTTTGTTTTTTTTTTAAGACTCAATCTGTAGATGACTCAAATATTTTCCAGGTTTTCCAATCCTTGTGGGAGAAAAAAAGAAAAGAAGATGAGACTAATTAGTGGGTTTTTTCTGCCTGGTTGTTAAACACCCTAATTACTTCAAGCACCATTACCACTACTTGCACATAAGCCATCCTTTGAAAATACTTCTCAATCTAAACTAAAATTGATGCTAATTTCTTCTGAGAATACAGCCAATATTAATACAATTCGGAGATTTATTGGATTTATTTTTTTAATCTTAAGGGGGATGTCAGTATTCTAAGTGCATACAAAGGAGATAATCTACTACCATTTGAACTGGAACCAACAACTAAAAATTTCAGAAAGACTGCACATTTTTTACAGAATGGAATGTGTTATAATTATATATCATGTACCATAACCTTTATTGCTGACTTGCTATTATTTTGATACTACAAAGTTTTTCTATATTCCTTCATGTAAAATGTATTTACATTAGAATTATATTATTGGGTCTTTTTTCTCTCCTGCTTTGGTACTGGATAGAATTGCTTTTTTTCTGATTATTATCTTGATAAATCAACATCTGGTACAGCTCGTGCAGACATTTTGCATTATTTTCTTTACCATAAATTCAATGGGTTAATAAATCATGACATTGTTTCTATAATAAACTGTAACAAAGAAACCAGACACTAGATAAATATTAATTGAACAAATCTTAATGTGATCCATTTTAGTGGCACTCAACCTGAGTTTTGTAAGTAAATTCAGTCAGTGATGAGAACCATAATGTGCAAAAGGCAGCACTTACTAAATTTGTAAGAATGAATGAGGTTTAGTGCTCGCCCTCAGGGTTGGGAAGAAAACATGTACACGAATAACTATGATACAAGGCAGAATATGATCAATACCAATAGTGTTACAAAACAATATCAAGGTTCTGGGGAAGATGAAAAATTACACCTCGTTGGGAGAATCAGAAAACCTTCACGAGGGAGGTGACCCCAGTAGTACACCTTCAAGGATTCACTGGGCAGAAATGAAAGGTGATCATCCAGAAAGAAAGAACAATAAGAAGAAAAGCTTGAAGGTGGAAGGCAGCACTCAGAAGGCATGTGTAGTCAGTTGTGTCTGTATTGTGGAAATACATAGAGCCTTGAATGCTAAACTGAGACGTTTTTAAAAATTTAATAGACAATGAGCAACTAGTGGTAGTTTTGAAACAAGATGGGCAACATGAAGATTAATATGAAATCCATGTGTAAAACGAGCAAGAAATGAAAGAATAAAGACATTCAGAGACTAATTGGGAAGTAAGAAGGCTCCCAGGAGGAGATAAGTAAAAAATGAAGGTTTGAATAACGGCAAAGGGGATATAGGGAAGAAATTGAAATCAAAAGGTAGTGCAGAGGCAAAAATAACTGGCTTCGCCAACCACTGTGGTGCCATAAACAGAAACGGGAACAACAGGGAAAGAAGAAGGATGTGCTTTTGAGGATGGAGCGCCTAACATATGAATGCTTTGTACATAACAAAGGCAACCCAGCCAGAGACCCACCATCCTCACGTATCGCTTTCCTCTCTCAGGGTCAGGGGTTCTAGAACTCACCTAGCCATCGCGTGGTCATTTCTGAGGCTTTCTACAACGTGATAGAATATATGAGAACCTCCTGACATCTCACTCCATATTCTACTGCTCATTCATTCAACACAGTAAATTCGAGTGCTTACCATCAAGAGGCACTATGCTTAACATACTCGAGGAGAAGACACTCTCCTCACCTTTATGGTTCTAATAGTCTTGCCCTGATGCCACTCTGGCAGAGAAGGACATGTTTTCTTGGTGCTTGTCTTTTTTCATTTTGTTTTTTCATGGAAATGGCTTTACTATTTTGTGGATTTGAAAAAAAGTGTAAAATTTGGAAAAGAAAATACACACATTTAAATAAAAGATGTGGAAGTAAAGTTGGGGAAAATCTCAGGAAAGAAAGCAAAAAAAGAGAAACACAGGAGAGAAGAGAGTACAAAAATATTAAGTAGCACTCTCAGAAGGTCAACGTCTAAAAAGTGGACATTCTGAAAAGAAAGAAAAGAGAAAATGAAGGAAGAAAATCATCAAAAAAATAATTTAAGGCAATTTCCTAGAATTGAAGGACACAGCTTTCCAGACTAAATGACTACTGAGCACCCAATACAAAAGATGAAAATAGACCTATGCCGACACATATACATTTTCAGAATAGTAGAGATAATGAGAGCATTTAAACTTCCAGAGAGAAAGCGATACAAAAGCCCCTCACACCCTCCAGTGGTACCTTCCCCCAATACAATAGAGCCCAGCCCCATTTCTACCCATCTCCCCTCAAATGTAAGTCAGATTGTGTCCCTCTTCTGTTTAAAACCGTCTTCTGGCTTACAAGGCTCTCAAAAAATATATATAAAGATAAAGAACACAGGGATATTAGGCTTTAAGACAGCCTTTAAAGCTCAATGACTCTTACGAGCATTTTTGAATGGATAAAGGATTTTGCTTTACAGAGAGCTACCAAAATGGAATTTTTCTTCTTCCTGCCTCACTCTTCAGGTCTTGTTCTCTCTTCACTTTCCAGTTTTTCTTTAGTCATCATTCTACACTTTTCAATGTAGAATGTTGGCAAGACCAGTATTTATGTCACATGAATTGCTCCTGAATAGGATTTTTAATGTGAGAAGTCATAACGAGGTTTCGAAAGAGCAAATGAGAAATGGGGAAAGTTCCCATGAGAATCAAGATTCTCTCAATTCTCCATGGGGTTATGGTGAGGAAAAGAAGGCACGTGTTGAACATAGAACAGTTCTACCTGATCAGACTAGGCTTCCCAAATTTGCATTGACCATCGGATGATCATGAGTCTATAAAGTAAGAACTAATATATGCCTTGATTAACATAAAAAGTGCAGAATATATTTCCAACCGAACTGAATTAATGAAATGGACCCCTAGGTTCTTCAAACTAATAAGCTGATACTTTTAGGTTTAATTCATTCAGTAAATATTTATTAAACACTCACTTTATTCCAGGCATTTTATTCAGGTGTTGGGGACACAGCAAGGAAATGCATGCCCCCTTGCAGCTTACTTTCTAATGGCACAGTCAGATAATAAATAAGACAAGGTAGAGTTATGGGATGCACAGTGACTGGGGTGAAAGTTCGTGAAAAATGGATTACTTTAGATAGATGGTCAGAGAGACACTCTCGGGAGATATTTTTCCCTTGAGACCTGAATAATAAGATTTAGCCACCAAAGGAACAGGAAAGGACAGGCACAGAAAAAGGACAAGGGTAAGGGCGCCGAGATAGAAAGGAGGTGAAGTGTCTGAAAAATGAAAATGAATACAAACGGGTCATAGTATAATAAAAGATGAGGAAGAAGGTACAAGATGAGATTGGGGAGGTAAGAAGGGGCCATATTATGTAAGCATTGGATAGGCCATGGGAAGCAGTATGGATTTCTCTTCTTCATATGGAGAAGTGGTTTTCTGGAAAATTCTCAATAATATTGTTTCTTTCATATCATTTTCCATGCTCCTGTATTCATTTCCCATCAAATTCCAAGAAACAAGCAAATGCAATGAAAACGTTTTCTTTGTCTTATTCATATTTTCATTCGACCATATTGTCACCTAGTAAATAAAGAAATTTTTTTTAAATAAGGATATAGTTCTATCTCATTCATGGGGAACAACAACAAAAAAGCATTCTTAATGAAGGAATCAAGGAAATTCAATATCATGTCTAAATAGTTTTCCTTCTTGCACTACTCCATGTAACATGGATCCCGAAAGAATAAGATTGCTCAGTGTGCCACCACCCTAAACAAGCAGGGACTGGTGTGGCAGGCTTGAAATCTCTATTCAAGCTAGTTACTGTAGCAAACTGCCACATTATTTCAAGGTACCTTCAAAATTTTCATGTTTTCCCTCCCGTTTTGTTGTATACATGCAGGAGTTTCTCCTTACCTTCTACTCTTTATTAATCTTACCTCTGATAGTGTAAGCATCATCCAGCAATAGAAGCACAGTCTTCTTCTAAAGGTGCTTGGTTAGGGTTTACCAGCCTACATAAAATAAACCATTTACATGGATTCAAGGGATCCATAAAGCGGAGAGTCATGGAGGAGAGTATTTGCTAGCTCGGGCAAGAGTAACAGTACACAATTGAGACAGAACTATTTCATCCGAAGGCTTTAAGGGATCTATTTTCCGGTGTCACCTTTTCTGTAATACACAGCTGCCCCAAATAATGCAAGAATCAAAACTTGCCACAAGGACTGAAACCAAAATACCAACTCTACAGCTCTGCAGGAACATTCACCTGCCATCTCCACTGCGAAGTTAATGAAATGTTACTAAACTGTCATTCTTTTTAAACACTTAATAAGATGGGTTTGTTTCTTCTGTTAGAAAACTAAGTCCATAAAATTAAGATGTCTTAAAAATGATGAAGTATTTTCTTTGTTTAAAATAGCAAAATGCTGCATATATGTTGAGTCAAAAGAGAGTCCCTGATCCTGTGAACAATTATATCACAATATGGGTATCTCAAGTCAGTGTGTTTATAGGTTGCATGCTAAAATCTTAACCTCACTATTGCTCTTTCATCCCCACTTTGCATAGATCAACAATTCTTGCTGGTTCTACCTCCAAATCTCTAACCAAATCCATGCCCTCCACTCCACCTTACACTGCCTTAATTCAGGCTCTTATCATCTCCCAGACAAACTATTCTAAAGAGCCTCCAATCAAAAACTCCTACTGATTCTTCCTGACTGAGCTCAAATGCCACCTCCTCTCTGAAGACTCCCCAGCTCTCCAAGGCATGATTAAATCACTTTGCCCAGTAGCTCTTGGTACACATCACTCTCATAACACAGATTATCCTCTACTCCGGTGCTGCAAGTAAAAATCTGCAAGCCACAGGTGTAATTTTAAATGTTCCAATAGCCTCATTAAAAAGGTAAAAAGAAATTAGTGAATTTTAATAACAATTGACTTAACCAGGTATATCTAAAATATTATTATTTCAACATGTAATCAATACAAAAACTATAACAAGATAGTCTACATTATTTCATGTTAGTCCTTTGATATCCAGTGTGTATTTTATATTTATAGCATATTTAAAATTTAGACACTAAGTTGTCATAAAAAAATTGATCTGTATTTAGATGTCATAAAATTTACAATTGAAGGAAATTCACATATCAATTATTTCAAATGTTCTCAAATTTTGTTATAACTGCATGAAATATCAACTTTTTATGTTAAAGTAAAATTAACATTTAAAAATCAGTTCCTCTCTCATACTAGGTACATTTCAAGTACTCAATAGCCATATGCAACTAGTAGCTATGACATTGAACAGTGCAGCTCTACCATAATTATTTGTATATACATCTGCCTTCCCCACTAAATCAGACCATATCTAATTTAATTGGATCCTCTCCATTGCTAGCATACACTTGATGCATAAATGGTGTTTTATGAAAATTTGTTGACTAAATAAAAATATAAATGAAAATTACTTGACTCTATCTCAACATTAAATCAAGAATATTCTTTTATAAGGTATATAAATGGCATTTTTTATGAACACATACACACACACACATACATGCACACACAAAGCCCTCTATGAATACTAATTAAGACTAAGTACATTTGATGTTATAGATTCCTTTAGAAATGAAATATTTCATACATACTATTCCCCCTTCTTCTGTGACTTCACCCCTCTATTCTTCCCTTAACGCATTTATGGGTACTCTATACAATTAGCACTTCGTGATATGTTTGTACATTCTCTAGTTGTTTTCTCTATCTCTTGCTTTCTCAAATTGTATTTTAAGCTTTGGCAGAGAGAGATCATTCCTTGTACTTTGAAACTATCATCAGACATGGCTTAATGGCAATAACAAAGTACAAGAATTTAATATATGACATATAATCAATTCTCAGGTGCCTTCTTTTTCAGTGAAGCCTTTCCCAATCGATCCTAGAAGCCCAGCGTCTCAGCACTCATATTCATGCCACTAAATCTGAATATCTGGGACCAGTGACCTATCTACATAATCAATTCTTCTCTATGAGCTACAATGTCTTTTGCATATGCAATTGTCCTTCACCCCCAAGGAGGTGGGATGATGTTTGCAATCTCTGTTACAATATCCTATGTTACCTAGTTGCAGTGCTCTCATCAAAATAGACCCTTCCATAGGTGTTGCTTCCTGTCTCCGCTTGCCGCGTCCATTGGGATGTAGCAATAACATGATGGAGGGGAACTCTGTAACAGTAGAGATCTCTGCGGTCTTGCGAATCACATCTCCTTACAGACAAATAACTCTGATAAATCAACGCACACATAAATTTCCACAAAGGAGATTATAGTAGGTTTATCTTCTATCCTAATGATGCTTGAATAAGAACAAAATAAAAATAAACACAAAGTGTCTTGATGAATCAGCCACCGGTTTCCTCCAAGTCTCTGTTGGTGTTCTCTCTCTTTTGTTTGGACAGTTCTGTGATGGCATCCATCTCTGCAGGCGTGAACTTGGGTGTTAGCATCACAGTGTCATAATCAAATTCTTCATCAAGTGAGAAGGGCTGAACTTCATCTCTGAGTATCTATAAAAAGTAACAAAGGAAGAAAATCATATACAATCACTGTAAATGAAGATAGAGTTGAAAATATAAACTCTCTATTAATATTTAATTAAACTTTTTTTAGACTTCAGCATTCTCAGCTGATTAAGCTGTTTTTAAGTAAAGGAATAAATTCAATTATTCAATTTGACCTAATTTAAGCCTCTTAACATGCCCCATTTGTACCATCCTGCATCTGAATGAGTATCATTAACTAATTCCACCCATGGCAAGAATCAGAAAGTCTCTTTTGCACACTTTCATTACAATTTTTCCACTTGTTATTGTTAGGGCTAGAGGCATATGGAAAAACTAAGAGTTATATTAAAATGTGAGAAAATACATCTTCAGATTTTGATCAACCTTAAATACATTTTCACCATTTACTAAAAAAGACATATCGATAAAACATAATATTCAAAGATAATAATAATCTACACTTAATATACTTACTTCTTCAAACATTACCTATAATTCCTAGGCCAATAATAGGAGAGTAAACACACATGGTATCACAGTAAATTAAAAAGTCCAGGATACCCTAGCCTATCAAGAATTTTTAAAATATTACAGAATTTATTTACAAGTCAAAGTATCTACAAAGAGATGTTAATAATTTTGTATTTATTTATTCATAATCCGTGAGTTTTAAAGATTTTTCTAAAGAAAGGTAGATAGGAAAGCATATTTTCTAATAAACAAAAAGAGAATGCCTTAAATCTCATTGTATCACCCCTTAAAAAGCCCCTCCAAAAGCAAATGGTGTGTGATAAAATGAAATCATCCAGCACCTCTATAATATGTATGGTGATGCTGAAATAATTGAAAACTGTGGTTTATGCAAGATTGAAAAAAAATGCCCTAAAACTATAATCGGCTTTAAATATTCTTACATGGAATATGATCTCATTGAGTGGCTTTTACAATGTTCTCGAAAGTGGAGCAGATAGCTCAGAAACTATGTGCTGTTATTAAACGTGAAAAAAAAGAAAGAAAGAAAACCACAACCATAAAAAGTAGATAACTCCTGTCTGTTCAGCAAATTGCATCTTATAGTTAGGTGTGCGATGTTAATAATATAGCAAACACCCAACCATCTATCATCTTTTCTTAGTAAAACCAGCAAGAGAACAAATTTCAGGGACTTGTTTATTTTTTCTTTGTTAGAAAGTGTCTGCATGCTTTCCTGACAAAGATAACGATGCAGCTGCCACTGAGTGAGTTCCCTCCACATGCCAGTCCCAGTACTAGGAGCCATGTGAGCATTCGCTGTAATCTTCAAACAACCCATCTTATGAAATGCTGAAAGATTAAATAACTCTCCCAAGATCACACAATTAGTATGGGAGAGAAGCAAGATTTGAATCCAGAGTATGCTGCTTCGGATAAAGCCTTCACCTATTCTATAAAAGCACGAGCAAAAATCAACCCTGAAAGTTTGAACTAAGCCAAGTCGTAGCTCTTTGGGAGAAAAGATTTTTTTCTAAATAAGATAAATAAATCCCATAGTTCATCATTTAAAAAAAAAAATTGCTCAAGGCTCCACATAATACCATGACTGTCTATTAAAAAGCGCCTGTACACAGGAAGCAAATCAGTCTGCAGAGTGATCCATTTTGGTCACTTTCTGAGATTAAATTTATCATTGTCACAAAGTGACAGTGGGGTAATACTGCTAAGACCAGCTCAAATAAAGAAACACATACACAGTGACACAGCATATTCATTTCCTGAATATAAGTGTCCTTGCCATCTCCAGTTCTACTCAGCACTGAGGCTTGCAGGCCCAGCCACAGTGCCAGCCTGAGCCACTCCTCACGGTTCCTGGCAGAGGGTGAGGAGGGACCCATCTTCACAAGTGCAGTCAGGCTGATGATTTTTTTGTGGCCTGGTTAAAGGAGTGGCATGTCCACCAAGTTTCAGGCTGCCTGTACCCAAGTGTGCCCACTGTAGTGGAGCTTTGAACCCCGCCCCAATGCCTCTAAAGACTGCCCAGACTTTTACTAACCACTCTGACCAGAGGAACTCACTTTGCTTTCTGGAAGAGGTGATATCTAAGCAAAATCTTAAAGAGTAATATTAGTTAACAAGGTTGAGGAAGAAGAGCTTTGCAGATAAGGGGAGTTCTCATGAGCGGGCCAAGGAAAGAAGACACGGATTTTTGCATGTGTGGATCTGCAGGTAGTTCCTTGTTATCAGAGCATAACGTGTAAGGTACGCAGTGGCAAGAGATGAAGATGGTGTCAGATCATGACAGGTCTTGTATTCCGTGTATCCTACAGATGATGAAAAGTCACTGAAAGATTTTTCGAAAGCAGGGTAGATACCTGGTGACCTATGCATTTCAAATGAATTCTTTCATTCAGATTTTAACTGAGCACTTACAATGAGACCTGTGCTAGAGACATAGGTGTGTACAAAACAGAAAGGTCCTTTGCTCTCTTAGAGATTACATCTAGATAGGTCACTTTGAAGATTAAACGAAGGGTAGATTTGGAGCTGAGGAGACCAGTCAGGAGCCTGCTGAAACAGTCCAGGCAAGAGATAATAAGAACAAGGCACTGGTAGCAGAGATTTGAAAATAGCTGAAAGTAAAATTAGTGACTGATTCAGATCTAAAAAGGGAAAATTTGAAGGTTCCTAACAGAACCCAGATAAAGGTATCAACAGGCAACTGAATACACAAACCTGAAACTCTGAAAAAAAGTCCGAGGCTAGAGATGCAGATTTAGAAACATAAGCATAAAAGGTAGTAACTTACAGATGAAAATGCATCCAAGTATGTATGTTTAGCGTGGAATCCTAAAGAACGCCAACTCATAGCGGTGAATGGAGGGAAAACCCCCAAAGGAGGCAGGGAAAAAATAATCAGAGAAATACGCAGAGAAGCTGAGGAGGGCAGTGAAGTGGAGAACCAATGAACTATGGGTGTCAGAGAAGATCGAAGGTGAAAAACACATTAGAGAGATCCATTAGAATAAAGACTGAAAAGTGTCCACTGGGATTGGCGCATATGAAGTAACTGGTGCCTTTATTCTGAATACTCCCAGACAGGTGATTGGAACCAAGGACATTTTGCAGTGTATTGAATGAGGAATGAGGAAAGGAAAAAGAGTCAGCCAGTAGAGACGAGCGTAATGGTTTCAGAACTCTAGATGAAAAGAGAGGAAAAAGAATAAACAGTAGCTAAAGAAGGGTCCAAGGTAAAGGGAAGGTTGTGTTTTGTTTTGCTTTGTTTCATTATGTTAAGGATTGGGGAGACTTGAACATGTTTACATGTTAAGGGGAATGAAGCAATAGAGAGAAAAAAAGAGAATGACTTTATGTTATTATACCAGAAAGTAACTTCCAGTAGGTGGTCAGAGCTTTTTTGTTTATTTATTTGTTCATTCAATATGTATTGTATGTCTACTATATGCACAGTGCTGAACTCGACACTAATTCTGACATTTTTGCATTTTAATTTAGATAAGCTTATGAAAATACATGTAAGTGAATTTACAGTCTTCCAAGATAAGAGGCACATATGTAATTCAAATGAAACTAGGTGTTCACTGCAATTCAGAAGACATCACTGTGATCTTTGAAATGACAGGTTTCAAAATATAGTAAAGTTGCAATTCTATTTATGTATTTCAGCTGTTAGCTACTATGGCACATTTTGGGAATTCTCTTCTTTCAAGTTAGGTTCATTTTAGGGTCCTAAGCTAAAAGACTCCAAGGTTTTTAAATTACAAACTCAAATTCAGATTTATTTCAAAGAGAAGAATTTGTGCAATGGAACACCAAATCCCCCGCTATTAAACAGAAAACAACTGTGAATTAAGTTATTAACTTGTTATTTTTGCCTAAGGAGCTGAGAGAAATATGTGGATTTCAGGTGTCTAATTTCAAATCTAATTGAAATCTTTTTGTCGCCTCTTGGGGAATAGAATTTGTACACGATTAGGAAACTGCTGGTTTCCTTAAAATTGCTCATGTGGCTTAATCTAAGAGAGACTGTTACAGGAGGAATCATTTTCATTCATAGTACCACACAAGCAAATTAAAGAAAACAGAACTAATGCTCAAATCAATAACAGCAGCATTTAGCTATAGGTTATCTTACAAAGTAACATAGTAAATAAACTTTTACAGCTGAAAAAATTTGAAGTCCCATTATGAATTGGAAAAACAGGAGATCTCCCATTAAAATACCACAGACATTTCTCCTATGACCCTTCTATGGACTGGGAGGAACTCACGATTTTTCATCTTCATAATGTGAGTTCATTTTGCTCTACATAGCTGTTCAAAACTTCTGAAATTCATCAAAATAGATTAACTAAGGCAAGAACTTAGTCGCAATGGAAAGTGAAAGTTTCTTGGAAAACGTCTGACTCTAAGGGGGGAATGCATATGTATAAAAACAGCGATAAATTATTTTTAAAAAAATTAAATTGGTTCAATCCATAGGAAGTTATGGATTTTTTATTAGGCAATTAAAAGAAGTCAGGACGTCTAGGATACATTTTCATCTTTTGAGACTGAAGTCTCGGAAAGCAACTATCTCTAGCCTTGGAGGACATATTTACCGGAAATTGATGATTATGTTCTTTTACTGGTATTGGAGACTTTAAAATAAGATTAATACTATTAAACCAAGGCAGAGTTGGTATAGTGTTATGGTTCTAGACAGTTCTGGACAGTTTCTCTAACAAATTGTGGTTAAAAATAAAAATCCCAATCAAGATATTATTCTAGATATTCAAAAAAAAAAACACACAGAAGTTTTTCATCAGTCTCATGAGTTTGCTAACACAAAAATTCTTTATCTCATTTTGATTCCAACATTTAAAAATGTTTACATTTCCTGGGAAGAAATTTAAATTGCTTTTAAAGATACAATCACATACAGGGTATAATTGCATTTTACTAGCTATTTGATAGATTCCAGAAATCAATTATTTTTTAACCCATCAACTAAAATCATTTTATAAAACTTCTATAATGGCACTATACAGTAACCTGTATGGTCACAACTGAAGTCAAGAATATAAACAAGTCTTTAAAGAAAACTGATTCCTGATATAAATAACCTTGCAATTTCAGTTTCTTATTACTCAACAAAAGCAATCCATTATTCTAAAAGCTCATTGAAAAGTGCTGTCCCTACCATTCTATTTGCTAACCAATTGAGGGGTTTAATATAAGCCTGCAAGCATCCTAGACATATGTTTGTGTTACCAGTGAACAAAGTTCTATAATAAAGGGGTATTTTTAAATTGAAGCGTGTGGATTATTTCTGGTTGAAAGACTGCTGCCCACATGCTCTCATCCCCTGCCCCTCCAGGTAGGATGATGACCTGTCTTGGAACATGCACATGAGGACAATGTCTTAAGGCAGCGGTCCTCAAACGTTTTGGTACCAGGACTTGTGCTTCTATGAAAATCTAATGCCTGATGATCTGAGGTGGAGCTGAGGCAGTGATGCTCTGCAAATACAGATGAAGCCTCACTCTTCTGGCGCTCACCTCCTTCTATGCAGCCT